AAGGGCTGTGGGTGTTGCTCAGTGGTCAAGTGCCCCTGGGTTCAATCCCCAGTAAACAAACAAACTCCAAGGAAGAGCACTTTGAAGGATCCTTTATCAGGAGAGATGAGAAGAGGAAATGGGCCAGATCTGGTGATCTCTTCTCCCCTAGCATCCTCACTTGGCTGGTCCCTTTCCTTCTGTGGCCAGCCCGGGACCTCCGCCTCCCCCACCGACAGCCTGGAATGGAGGCATCGCACAGGCCTCTGACACACATCTGGTCTCAAGTCTGCCTTGGAAAGGCAAGTTCTGGAAAAGGAGGTGGAACAGCATGTTGGGGCCGTCCGAGGCCATTCTGGGGCCAGCCAAAAGGCAGGCTGCAATTTGGAGCCCTGGCTTAATCAAATCCTCACTAACCCATTCCACTAATTCAGAATCTGTCAGTTTTGACATTGGCTACGCTCAAGTTGCTATTATAGAGTCCATGAAATAAAGAGTTTCTTAAGCCAATGAACAGAGGAAATTCTCCTGACTTCTGGTGGTCCCTCTGGGCATGGTGTCTAGGCCACCCCCGATGTTCTGAGCACCTCCGCAAACAGATGCTGCTAACCGCACATGGCTTTTGTCTTCATCAAAGTCTGCTTTTCAGTCTGTGCTCGAAACATGCCGAACAGTTTATGGAGGAAAGTAATGGTAAGAAGAACTCTGGTGGTTCTCACCATCTTCTCTCAACCCCAGGAGGGAGACTGTGAGGCTTCAAACCTGCTCCGCACATCGGGGAGGGAAAGGCCTGCTGCCTGGGCTCCACGTGGGTCTTGATTAGTGAGGAACCAAAGCCCACTCCTCACATGGCCCCAGGCGGGGAAGAGCCATGCTTGGGTATGAAGACAGAGATGCCACCCATTCTGGGTTTGGACAGTGGGAATATCCATGGAGATAACAGGATCTGCAGACCAGAGGGCTCTGCCTGAAAATCTCATTCAAGCCATACTTATTTGGGGCTCGCTGTTATTGGCAGCTCTACCTAACYCAAGCTTATTCCCTACTTGCAGGGTGGATTATCAGACTTAGAGGAACCTGGCCTCTTCACCACAGAAAAAAACTTCATTTCCCAAAACAGAGGTTTCATTTTATTTCACARAGGCTCATTTTATTTTTATTTTTTGCAGTGCTGGGGGCGGGACCCAGAGCCTTGCACACACTATGTGGCCCACTTAAAAATCCAATGAAGGCCAGAGAGAGTATCCCAGAAAAACACACGAATGAGAATGTGTTCCACTTGCGTCTCACTGTTCCATATACAAATTTATGAGCTCCCAGACCCCCTAAAGGCGATGCTCACTCCCCATACTAAACTCAGATAAAAGAGGAATGCAATTTCCAAAACACGCCCAAACACAAGTGGCATCAGGCTCTGTTCTCACACTGAGYCACAGCAGAGCAGAGGACAGGGTCTCTGCTGTACCCATTCCTTAACAAGAGAGCCCCTAGGCTTGGGGGTTCACAGCCCACGGTGGGGAGCAGGCAGCTGAGCAGGGCAGTAGGACTCCCTCCATATCAAAATTGCCTGCAGGGCAGAAAGGGAAGCCAAACTTCCCCGTGGAGGAGGCACCATCCTGGTCAGACGATGGATGGGTAAAAGTTTGTCAAGTGGTAGAAAGGGTTAGGTGGAGAATATTTTCTACAAGGAAACTGTGTCACAAAGATGTGGCCAGCCCGTGGCATACTTGGAGAACGCAGGGTGCATGGACAAGGGCTGCCTGGGAAGAGCATAGCAGGTAAAGGGAGGGTTTGGAAATGSGCCAATACGTCCTGCTGTGCAGGGCTCTGAATGCCATTCCAAGGGTTTCTGCCTTGATCTTGTAGCAACAGAGAGCCAGAGGGTGATATGACCAGATGTAGCAGCCTCAAGAATAGGGGATGGAAGGCGGGGAGACAGGGGGCAGGAAGCACCAGGCAGGATCTAGGGGTCAGGTACCAGCTTTCACCTGGCAGGTAGGCCCAGCAGCACTGGGGACACAGACTCCACCAGCCTCTCCAGAGGCTGTGGGTTCCCTCCTACCTCCGCTGCCTCCTCTGTTATTTCAGGTGGGCTGTGCTTCCTCCCCCCGCCCTCTAGCCCTCCCCACCCCCTCCTGRCTCCCTCTAAAATAGGCTTTTATTCCTGAATCACAGAAGAGCCTCAGATGCAGATCCCTGGGGACCTGACTTCCTCTACTTCACCCTCATTCAACAGCTTGATCCAACGCACACTTCCTGAGATGGCCTTGCACAACGTCCCAAGGGAGGCACAGTTGAAACAGACCAGCGCCTGCCCACACGGGATTCCTCCATGTGCACAGGGTGAGGAAGGGAAGGAAATAAAGCCCAGACCCCAGGAACTGTCCCCCGAGACAGCCGGTGTGCACATAGGGCTGTGGGTGTCCGGGAGAGCCAAGAAGGAAAGAATTCCTTCCTCTGGGTGGGATGAGGGCAGGTCAGATTAAGAAAGCCTCCGTGGAGGCGTCCAGGATTTAAATTGAAGATCTGGGATTGCATTTTTCCTTTTATAGCTATGTGGCCACAGGCAAGTTGATCCACCTCTCTGAGCATGTGTATCCTCATTCAGAATAGCACAAACGTACAGACTTCACTCACCCTATTGTGGGGAAGAATTAATGAGAGGCTGTAAAATGCTGAGCCTGGGGATTAAAATCAGTGTGGTGGGCAGACTCTAAAATGACCTCCTGGTATTAGGCCTTGACCTAGTGACCTGCTTCTGACCAGTAGACTATGGCAAAAAATGACCAATATTCAATCATCTTGCTTGCCTCTACTGCTGTCTGGTTTGCCTGTTCAGGTGGAAACTTGCTGCTAGGTCGTGAGCCATCCTGAGGAGTGTCACAAGGCAAGGGACCAAGAGGTCTCCTTGAGGAACTGCATCTTTCCAGTGGTATGTGCCGGCTCCTGGAAGCTGATTCCCGCCCCCTGCCCCTCCATCACTGGAACCTGGGCTAACACCGCAGCCTGTGCACGACCTTGAAGCAGATGACCCAGATGAATCATGCTTTGACTCACAGAAACCGAGACAATATATTTATTGTTTTAAGCCATCAAATTTTGGGACAATTGATCACACACACTAGCTACTTCCTACAATCAGGGTGATATGGAGACGGTAACAGCTGGCTGTCCAGGTGCTAACCAATCTTTAGAGCAGATGCTAAGGGGAGTGTGGACCAGCCCCTGCAGGCTCTGGGAGTTCAGAGAGTTCTCATCTAACCTTTTCTGTGTGTCTTTTGGTATCTTTTTAAATTTTAGACCAGATACATTTATTCATGAAAAACTATATAATTTTGCCTGTGGTCCCAGCTACTTCGAAGGCTGAGGCAAGAATATTGCTTGAGCCCGGGAGTTAGAGACCCACCTGGGCAACACAGGGAGACCCCTATCTCAAAAATCAATGAAGGAAGAAAGTATGTGTAATTTTATGAATGAAGATAATGAAAAGCATTCAGAAATAACAGTTTGTAGAAATGGCACGTGTCTCAAAGGGGGAAATGCCCAGGAAGGAACTTTGAGGAGCGCYGTCACTATGGCCTGTGACTTTTTGCCATTAATTACAAAAGCCACATGAAAGTGCTGTGGTTGTGGCCTCTGACCTATGATATACCAGTGTCACCTGCTCTTATCCCTGCACCACTTGCTATAGTTCCAGGTGCTGCCAGATTGTGAAGGCCGGCAGGGAAGGCACTCTAACATGGGACCACAGTCCCCACATGCCTGACACTGAGCCAAACACCATGCACTGCTGCCTTCATCATCACAGGAACTGTGGGAGGCAAAGTGCCACTCTCCTACCCGACGACACAGATCAAGCAAGAAACAGAGAGGTCAGTGACTTGCCAGGGGTCACACACCGGTGGAGAGTTGGACTCTAGCCCKGGCTTCAGCCTCTGAGCTGACACGCTGTGCCGACAGCCTGGYGGATAGAAGGTACTAGACAAAGCCTTCTAACAAAGCCCTGGTCCTTGCCCGCAGACTCAGGGGCAGAGGCTCTGTCAGGCTGAACCTCAAGCAGGACTATCTTCCTCTGTGTCTCTCAACTGAGCTCAGGGGACTTGATTGGCTTCCACCAACACAGGCCAGGACGCTGCTCCTAGAAGCCCTGGGTTGCACAGAATGGTGGTGCCTGGCCCCTCTACAGGAAGGAGCCTTGGCAGGTGCTAGGCTCATCTTCACCCAGCCTGGTATGGCAGGGTGGAGCTCAGAATGTCCCCAGCCCCATCGGGCATGAGTGGGAGGGAGAAGAACAGCAATGGCTTCTCCCCAGACCTGCCTAGGTTCCTGCAGGTCACATAGTGGGACTTTGGTACACACAGCTCAGCAAAAGAGGCTGGGCCAGAGAGTCTCTGGGTCCAGGGTCATGAAGCAGTGGGTGACACACCTACAGCCTCCTGGGGAGTGTGAATCAGACCCTTGTGGATACTGGCTGGGGGTCTGCAGTAGGAGAGAAGGAGCTGTGGTTCCTGGAGATGTCAGCACAGGAGGAGGACCCGGGAGGAAGCACCCCTCTAGTTACTCCCCCATTTTACAGATGAGACAACTGAGACYAGAGGGAAGATGTGGTTTACCAAAGGACAGAGGTCACTGCGGTGTGGCTGAGGCTGGATCCCCTGTCTCCTGACACTCCTGAGAGCCCTTGACTCACCTGGGGCGGAAGCCATTCTGGTTGTGCTCTGGGAGGCTCAAAAACCCTCCCCTGGTGTCTCTGGGGATTTCCCCAAAGCAACAGATGCCTGAGTCAAAGGCTCTGGCTCCTTCCCCTCCACCAGACCATTGCCTCCCACTGGACATTTGGTTGGAAAAATGGTTCCTCTGCTGTGACCAGAGAAGCGCTGGGGTTCATCGTGCCCCTTCTCCCCTTGGCTGCCAAGTCTCTGCCATCCTTCACTCCTCCAGGCGCCAACCCCACCAGCCTGGCTTCTAGCTGAGCTGGGTCCTACCCCCTCCGGGTCTCCGCTGGATCCCTGGGGACTCACCTGRCACATCCAGGGATGGGTTGACAATCATGAAGGCATCTGACAGGCCTGCTTTGACGGGGTGCTGGGAGGAGCTGATCTCCAGGACAGACATGGGGATCTGCAGTGGGGAGAAGAGGCTCCATCTACCCCCAAGCTCCCTGGGGCTGGCCCTGACTTTCCCGCTGAGCTCCAGAGTCTTCTGCCTGCCCAGCGTCACCTTTGGAGGACTCAAAAGCACCTCAAACCCAAACTCCCATCCAAACTCCAGTCTTCCCCACATCACCTCCAGCCTGTCTCTCCCTCAGTGAACAGCATCTCTGTGCAGCCGGAGAGCCGGGGCCTCCGGTCCTCCCTGACTTTTCTTTCCTCCCTCATATAATCCAGCTCCCAATTCTGTTTTTTCCTTCCTTCCTTCCTTCCTTCCTTCCTTCCTTCCTTCCTTCCTTCCTTCCTTCCTTTCTGTACCAGGGGCTGAATTCATGAGGACCCCACCACTGAGCCACATCCCCAGCCCTATTTTGTATTTTTTTTTTTTTTAGAGACAGGGTCTCACTGAGTTGCTTAGCAGTCCACTTTTGCTGAGACTGGCTTTGAACTTGCGATCCTCCTGCCTCAGCCTCCTGAGCCACTGGGATTACAGGCATGCGCCACTGCGCCCAGCCCAGAGTGGCCATTTTCAAATAGCATATCTCATTGCTCCCCTGCATCCTCCTGCCCCGCTCTTGCCCCTCCGACCACGCTGCCTTCCTCCAGAGCTTAGTTCCARCTCTGATCTCTCCTGCCACAGGAYGGCTGCACGTGCCCGTCTCTCCCCTGAACACGCTCCACTCTGCTCTTTAACTCCCATTCATCCCCTCTCTCTTCCTTGGGGAAGCCTCCTTTGGCCTCTGACAAGGTGAAGAGCCCCCCTGACAGGCTCTGCTGGCACCAGGCGCCTCTACTCGGGAGCACTTGTCACAGTGTTGATTGTGCCTTTGTCCCTGCCATTATTGTCTATCTCTSAAACACAGCCACCACTCCACAAGGACAGGGCGCAGGTGGGGCCTGCGGCAGGCTTGTTAGCATCCACATGCCTGGTGTGTTGCGGACTCCCTACAAACACCTGCTGGGGGGAGGAAGGCTGGGATCCAGTCTCTGCAGCGGGGCCCACTCACCTCTTTGTAGCCGAAGACAATGCGGCCATCACGGTGCAGAGCGGCCTGGAAGGTGAAGCTGCCCCGGTCCTCCCGGCCTTGGAGGTAGACGTGGTCCCACTGAACGACAAAGACTGTCCCTGAGGAGAAGAGCAGAGACCTGGCTGGACAGCCAGAGCGGAACTGGCCAGGGGTTTGCTCCGTTCGGGATGATGGGCTTCACGGCAAACTTGAGAAGGCGGAGAGCTGGGCAGCCCCCAGACATCAGCCCGGCTTCCAGGCTGTGGAGCCAGAGGTCCTGCTTCAGCCCCCAGACCTCTAACCCCAGGCGGGGCCCCTCCTTCCTGTCTTCCTGACCCCTTGARATGAAAAGGACAGGAGATGTCTGTTCTCCTGGGTGAGAGTGAGAACCATCCAGGCCCCTGACATCTATTTCCCTTCTATTAAGAGCACACACATAGATTTTGTCATCTCACCAGACTCTGCAAGTAGCTGCATTCTGTTCCTGTCTTTCATTTGAGGAACCAGCACAGACARGTGGGGTGGCTGTCTGGCTGTGTGATAGTGCGCAAGTCCCTTGCCCTCTCTGAGCCTGGGGCTCCTCTAAAGGGGGTGGACCAAGAGATCCCTGGGGCTTGATGACTTACACTCTGAGATCTGCCCTCACCATTGTCAAAGTAAGACACTGTGGAATTGTCGGAGTAGCCAGGGTTGAAGTTGGCCATCAGGGGGGCCACGTACTGGGTAGCTGTGAGCATCCGGTGGATCACRTCGCCCATGAAGATGAAGCCTGGGGGGGAGAGGCACAGAAGGATTGCCGGAGGTGGCCTCCAGGGGCTGCTCCTGGGGGTCTTCTCCCCAAGGCTGGAAGAGAGCCTCAGACCCCTACATCCCATCTGGAGCTGGTGACTCTGGGTCTGGTGTGTGTGGAGCAAAAGGCCCAGTCCAAAGAAGGTTCTCGCTGTGTCTCCAGCTGGACACATAGCATGGGAACAGGAGGTGACTCCCACCTCCCCGGATCCCTAGGGAAGTGGCACCCGGAATTGAAGTGCGTGGGAATCAGATGGGCTCCTGCGAGCAACACGGAGCCTGGTCCCAGGAACCCAGGCTTTCAGTGTGGTCTCCTCTTCCTCTCTCTCAGATTCAGAGACCCAGGGACCACAGGGACCTAGCAGGACACACATACGCRCRCRSACACACACACACACACACACACACACACACACACACACGCACGCACACGTGCAGCATGAGGGGGATGCTCTGACAGTCCTGATCTCCCTCCTAAGATGGGGCACCCAAGACAGCAAACCTGCGTCCTCTCCAGTCCGTCTATCAACCCCCTCTCCACTGAGACCCCTGCCTTCAGCCTAAGATGTCCGGACCTCCCCAGGGCCCTGCTGGCTCGCCTTACCTCCAGTTGCTATAGTGATCTGCCGCAGAGGATGCCCATAGAAAGGGAAATCGAAGGACAACACCACTCTCTGCAGGGGACGGGAGAGAGTCAGCATGAGCCAAGCCACAGGCCAAGGGTTGGGCACCCACACTTCCCCATGCTTGTCTGGACAGAGTGGGCAGACATGGCCAGGGCAGGCCTTTAGGACTGAAGGCAGGCACCCCCACTCTGGGTGAGCTCATGGGATCCCCTAAGAAGGTCCCCCCAGATCATAGACCTCAGGCCCCTGCCATGCCTGCTCCCAGGTCCCCACAGTGCAGCCTCCCACCCAGACACACACAGGCCGGGCACCCTGGTCACTCACCGAGGCCTGCCGGTGGGTGTTGGAAAGGATCCTGTGGACCTTCACTTGGTTCTGGTTGGCCTCACCCACGTTCACCCATAGTTCCCSACTGCGGGGCTCACTGGGGCCGTAGACACGGGACACATAGTAGCTGTGGTTGTCCTCCTGCAGGTGCCCAAGACAAAGCCACAGGAGGCGTGGGGAGTCAGGCAGGCCAGGAAACACCCTCTGCTCCTCCCCACTCAGTCTGCTTGGTACAAGAAGTCACCCCGCCCCAGGGCACTGGACCTGTGGCCCAGAGGGCTAGTTTAGAGCCCTGGAGCCCCCTCGGCCCTAGACAGCTCACTACCTGGCCCCGACCCCTTCCCAGCACGCCCRCTGCCCCTGCGCCCAGCCCTGCCAYTGCAGACAAACCCGAGGTTCATCCTGAACCCCCTCCACGTCCCCTACCCTGTGCCTTCAGAGTACAACCAAGACCTAGTTCAGCTAGAGGGAAATGAGGGAGAAACAGACAGAACAGCCCTAAGAAGAGCTTTATCTTCAGAGAGCTCCCAGATAGCGGGGAACACATAGTCCCTGCCCTGGGGGAGCAGCCAATTTAAGGGAAAACACTGGATCTCTGAAGGAGCCAGTCTAGAGGAAGCTGACCTGATCTTGGGGAGTTCTAGTCTGATGGTGGAGGTGGGACACCTGTGAACAGAACACCCAGACTCGGGCCCTCCAGCAGAGTGACGCAGAGCCCATGCCAGGGTCACCAGAGAGGTTTTGTTTTTCATTTGTACCAGGGATTGAACCAGAGCCCTTAACCACTGGGCCACACCCCCAGTCCTTTTTTGTATTTTATTTAGAGACAAGTGCCATGTTTCACGACTTAGACACTCAGGGTCACTCAGGTGAACTGGGCTGCATGAAATARTCACACAGAGATACCTTTTTCTTTGGGTCCTAGGACGGCTCCTCTGACCTTAAGGGTCCACCAAGAAACAGAAAGAGCATGTGTTGAAGCCTTTTATTGGGGAGAAGCCATTCAAATGAGGCAAGGGATCAGGTTTGGGGCGGGGGGTGAGTCTAGCTTCGTGATGTCTGCTGTCAGCAGATTGACTGACATCTAGGAAGGCCACGCCCAAAGGCAGAGCAAGAGAAGGGGACACACAAAGGGAGTTTCCATGGAACATTCTATCCCAAACAAGACAAAATGGTAAGATTACAAAAGAATAGGTGAGTGTGGCTCAACCCCAGGGGTGTGCCTACCCAGAAGACTGCCCTTGCTATCCGAGCAGGGGATAGTCCCGCACTACCTGGCCAGATAACAGTGATCTTTCAGATCCCCGCGGCGCACCAGAACTGGAAGGCGTGGTAACGCACTGTGGCTCCCCACTGGCAGGGTCTCCCTAAGTTACTTAGGGCCTGGCTAAGCTGTCAAGTTTGGCTTTAACTTGCGATCCTCCTGCCTCAGCCTCTAGAGCCACTGGGATGACAGCGTGGCCACTGTWCCCAGCACCAGAGGGTTGTTAATGAGGAGAGAAGCAGCACAGAATCCTTTAAGTCATATTTTGAGTCTCTCTTGTGTGCCTGAGGGGGATCAAATATGGAAGGAGGCAGATTGAGGTGGGGTGGGTCCTCTCTGTAGTCTCTCCCCCAGGGGAGCATTTGGGGCCAGGGTTTACAGGAGGCTGGAGAAGAGTAGAAGATCCAGGGAGCAGAGCAATGTCATCACTTCCTGGAGCTGGCCCAGGAGCACCTACATAGGAGGCCAGGTGGCCAGGAGGCACGGTGGGCAGGTTCCATTGGCAGCCACTGCAGAGATGCCCTGGTCACCATGGGTCATTAATCAATCTGCCCAGCGGCGGTGGCTGCAGACACAGCAGAGCAAACAACCTCATCCCTGCCAAGCTGCCAGCTGCCCAGCCAGCTCTTGCCCCAGGTCCAGCAGGAACCAAGGACTCCTGCATTCTTCACCYGCTGGGAGGCAGACTCTGCTCTTCTGCCAAGTGTCACACTTGGTCACCAGGGGTYGGGCAGGCTGGGGGAAATGAGTAAWGAGACGTGGGGTGCAGTGGGGTGTCCCCACCGCCACTGCACCACTCCCCCTCCTGCCTCTAGATGGCCCACCCCTCGGCCAACCTGGAACAGAGTCAAGCTTATCTCAAATGCTTTTTGAAGTCACATCACTCTGCCCACAGCTATCKGGGCTCCCGGGAGATACTGTATTTGGGGTAAAACGCGAACCTCTGAGCCTGGCATGTGAAGTGTCAGCCTGAGCCAACCCCCCTTCTCTCTGGCTTCATTTCTCTCATGCCCCCATGCACCCCTGGGCACCCACTAAACAGACTGAACTCCTCTGACAGTCTCAGGCCACCACACAGGAAGAATCACAGCCCCTGTATTCTCCTCTCAGTGGATTCCTGTTTCTTTAGTGCTCAGCTTAAACATCACTTCTTATCGACCTTCTGACCTTATCTGCCCAGGGACGACCTCCAACCCTTGCAAATCATCATCCAACATTTTTGGTGATCAGGAGTGAATCGTGTCTGCTATTTCCAATTGTCACATGGGCCCAGACTTATTGGGTTAATGAATTCTACCCATGAAGCCCCTAAGGAGGCCCTCCTGATGCCACCACCCCAGGGTGAGGGCAAGTGCCTGTGTCAGAATGCTGCTTCCTATTGCTGCCACAGCTGCCAACCCTGGGGTTCCAGGAGATGCCCAGAGGAAGATGCACTGCTCTCCAGCTCTTCCCACTGCACCAAAGCCATCTTATGCCAGGGATCACAGCCTCCCTGAAGAAACAGCAACTTCTGCCCCCGCCTAGCCCTCTTCTTCCCTCCAGGGCTCAATCTCTTCCATCCCCACCAATCTCTGGTGGGCAGCCCCACCTCAACCAAAAGCAAGGGCTAGGGTTGTGGCTCAGAGGTAGAGTGCTTGCCTGGCATACGTGAGGCACTGGGCTCGATCCTTAGCATCTCATAAAAATAAAATAAAGGTATTTAAAAAATCGTACAATACCTAGGAAAAAAAAAAAGAAGCAAAACAAAAGATACCAAAAATCACCTGCCAAGTCTATGTTCTCCAACCTATGCAAAGACAGGCGTACCAAAGTGGGTCTGCTGATGCCCACCCAACCTGCCTCCTGAAATTTGCAGCTGAGTAGTTTTTTATTATATTTGTCCTCAAAGCAAAAAATTTACAGGGGCCCTGGACAACACTATGTGTCTGACAGTCTGCAAACCCTCAACTCTGAAGCCAGTTTATGTTCAGCTGGGACAACCTGTCATAGCTGTGGCTACAGCTCACCTCCTGCCCTAGCCTCCAGTTCAAATAAAAACGTAACTCATTGGGCAGTAACTTATATAACTTATGTAGCTCAGTGATTGAGCAACTTGCCTAGCATGTGTGAGGCCCAGTACCACACACACAAAAAAAGCAGTTTATTACGGGGCACCAGTTAGCCTACAATTTTAAAGAAACCACTTAAATGTCTGTTTCTGATGGGTATGGTGGCGCATGCCTGTAATCTAGTGATTCAGGAGGCTGAGGCAGGAGGATTACAAGTTCAAGGCCAGCCTTAGCAACTTAGTGAGGCCCTAAGCAACTTAGTGAAACCCTATCTCAAAATAAAAAAAGTAAAAAGGGCCAAGGATGTGGCTCAGTGGTAAAGTGCCAAAGTGCCCCTGGGTTCAATCCCCGKTACTAAACAAAGCAAAGCAAAACAAAACAAAAACATAATTGACAGAAGAAAAACCAATGGGTGAGCTGAGTGTTAGTGAACACTTGTAATCCCAGTGACTTGGGAGGCTAAGGCAAGGCAGAATACAAGTTAAAGTCCAAACTCAGTAATTTAACAAGACCTTGTTAAAAAATAAAACAATAAAAAGAATTGGGGACGTGGTTCAGTGGTAAAGCATCCTTGGGTTCAATTACCCTTCCGCGCCAAAAAAATGTCTTTTTCTGCCTTAATTATGAGACCCTGACACACTAGGAGGGTAAGGTCACCTCTGTGCCCATGGCTCAAAGTTCTCAGACACTCGGTGCTCAAGAAGCATGTACCCCATGAACTGAGACCTTGTGCCAGAAGCCCACACTCTTCTTTTTGCCTTCTTTTGAGAGAAGAAGAGGCTGGGGCCAGGGAGGGACCAATGTCCAGCAACTGGGTGAAGTCTGCCTCCCTAAATCCTGGGCTACTTTTCTATGATGCATGGGTGAAGGGGAAACCAGTGGCTCAATTTAGTGAAGCCAGCAACTAGGTAGCACTTGAGTCCTTGCACGCCATGGGGTATTTAAATTGTATTCCCCAAAAAGATATATCCAAGTCCTAAGCCCCTCATCTGACTATGGTCGTTTTTAGAAATAGAGTAAAGATCAAGTAACAATGCAGTCACACTTGGTTGGGGTGGGATCTCAATTCAACAAGTGATGTCTTTATAAAAAAAATAAAAATTAGAAAAAGAGGGTGATTTGGACACAGCTACAGAGACACAGTGAAGAAGGCCATGTGATGGCAGATTACAAACCAAGGAATGCTGAGGATTGCCAGGAGCCACCAGAAGCCCGGAAGAGACAAGGAAAGGGTTTCCTGTGGCCTTCAGGGGCAGCATGGTTTTGCTCACACCTTGATTTCTGACTTCTACCCTCCAGAATAAATTTCTATTGTTTAAGCCACCAAATTCGGGGTAACTTGCTATGGCAGCCCTACAGAACTAATGCACATGCCCAGTTGTGTGTGCTCCTGCGGCTCAGTTGGGGAAACCTGCAGTTTTTCCCCACTGCACATCWCTCCCCTGCTTAGAACATTCTGTGGCTCCCAAGCTGCACTCAGATCTAAGGTCATGCCCCTTACCACAGCCTACGTGTCCCTGTGGGCACTCTGGCCACTGCCTATCCAACATCCATTCCCTTTTCTTCTCTACGAACAGAAAATTGATTTTTGTAGCAAGCAGCCATGTAACCAGCAAAAAAGCCTTTGAAGACATGCTAGAAGGACGCTTAAGTCCCTTGATTCGCCTGTTACATACAAACAAATCCTTCCTGATGCCTGGTGGTCTGGCCCCTGCCCAGCACGTACTCCTGGCTTCCTGCTCTCCATGCTCCAGGCCTCAGTTCCAGAAATTACCAAGCCCTTGTCTGTCCCAAGGCCTTGGTGCCTCCTGTCCTTGAAACCTCTTCCC